AGTGATGCAGGGAAAAGTCCCATGTGAGGGCGATGAGAAAGTCACCATCCTCGTTCTCTGCACCATATGGGATGGAAGCCAGCGTTCTCAATGGCGACGAAGACCGTTCCCAAATCTTCCCCATCTTGACTTTGAATAAGCATTGTTGTGTACTTCATGTCTCCAGCTCATGTTGGCTTGCTGGTGTGTCCAAGCTTGCCGGGTGATCCCAAAGTCCTTCTGAAAAAAAAGGCATGTGGCATGTGCTGCTTGCAAAAGAAATGTCCTGGCATCAAATGTGTCGTACTGCAATTCAGTCCACTTTTGAGAGACCCTCCCAAAGAACCAACTGTTCAAGGTCTGGGCAGCAAGATTGAAGAAAATATCATAAGACTTACTGGCAAATAGAGTCTTACTGCCTCCGCCGCCGCCTGGGTCGCCCGCGAATGGTGATGGTGAAGCTCCTGCACCCCAGCAGATCGTCCGGAAAGAATTCGATCTGACTTCAAAAAGGATCTCGAGAAAAACATCCCGAACCCGTGGGTGTCTCATCCACTTTTCTCAACTGTGGCTTGTCACATCAGGCATCAGGGTCACTTTACTGAGAGTTGCCTGATGCTGGCTTCTCGAAGCATACATTGAAAAAAAAGCTAAATGAGGCTCCTCCAGTCACAAAATGATCAAACGATTCGCCCCTTCAAGCACTTGCCGACTTGTGGCAGGCCGGATCCAATGACATGGCAATTCAGCTGATTGATATTGATTGATCCACAATTATCCGTTTTGCACGTTCTTCTCCATGTTTTTTCCCCGTTTCCCTTCGCTCGTGACGCCAGGGTTGGGGACGGTGAGCTTGAAGTCATTCAGCTTCCCATCGAAGCTGGGCTCTAGTGATCCCTGCGTGCAGGGGGACGAAGTCCAACGAAAAAAGGTCTGCGAAACCAAAGACATCGTGTGGCAAAATAGAGATGTTGTCTTGTGGGCGGTTCAACACTCTTGCAAGTCTACCCGGGGCAGATGCCTCACGGTGTTTGAAAGTTTACAGGAGACCAACGTGTGGATTCTGTTTTGCAAATTCTTGGCCAATGATAAATGATCACAACTGTCCATGATACACATAAAAAAGAAAGCTTGCGGCAGCTTGCACCAACAAGCTCTGTCTGAAAGGGCAAAGGCGCAGAACTAACTTCGAAACCAACTTCTGGGAAAAGGAAGAGTCGACTGAAGCCCATGGGTTGGGGAGTCTCCTCATGTTCCACTTGATTGGTCGAGCAAACGGTCAGTTTCAGGGTGATTTGTGGCCGCAACCGTCAGAGTACCAGATCTAAAAGCTGCCAAACACAGCTTGTCTCCGCCATTCTTCATCGATTTGCAAGTGGCTTCCCATGATCGACTGAAACGTCTCCAGGCGTTCACGGATACTTCCACGAGATCGAAAAAAATCATCCTCTATAACTTATAACCCTCTTGCTGTCCCAATAGGTGGAGTGATGTCCTTTGGGGAGACCTATGGAGTGACCATCCACAACATGGAATCCTCCCACTCAGTGAGGGAGACCTGCTTACTCCAGCCTCACTGAAGGAGACAGACTTGAGGCGAAGCCAGTATTTGGGCTGAGCGACGAGGCGGGAAGATGGAAAGCAGCGACGATGAAGAGGATACACGTCGGCACCGAAGGGGATACACGCGACTTGTTTGGAGTGGGAAGGTGCGAGACTGACATCAAATTCAGGTCTGAGTCTGCTGCAACATACGTTTTGCAACATACGTTTTGTTTGAAAGGCATGGCCGGCATCATTGCTGTTGAAGGAACCAAACAGAAGGAGAAAAGAAGTACTTTCCAGAGATCAAAAGAATTAACCAAAAGAGGAATTCCCTCTAGATTAACTTCTATTCCACTGCAATTGTCCTGCCAAGAATTAACTCCAGAGTTGTTTCTCCACTTAGTGTTTCCTGGCTTTGTGCGCAAGAATCAATTCTGGGGTTATTTCCTCTTCCTAAGCAGCAAGTTGGCTGGTGAAACTGTCTGGTAGCGAGGTCCTGCACTTGATGATTAAAACCAAAAGCAGGGTGTCACTCACCAACGCTGCAAGAGAATGATACCCCGAAATCTCTCTCTACATGCACCCTGGAAAAAAAAAAAAAACACACACAATAGACAATAGATACCAGATTCCCTGGACCCTGAGTGTTAAATGAAGCCGCGACAAAGTACCCAACATCTTGATCCATTTGAGGATCTCATGGCTTTTGAACGACGATCTGTTCGCCGCAACCGAGGTCTGGAGGGGCAGGCCGTCTCTGAGGTCATCCCTGAGGTTCCCACATCGCCAGGCAGCCGAGGCCTGGGTCGGGTGAAGCTGCTTTGGCCCCGAAAGCCGCTCCGCCCCTTCACCCGCCCTTCAAACCCCCCAGTGGAAAGAAAAACGCAGATGGAACTCCAAGACATCAAACCTCAAACCACGAAACCTCCAAACGTTTGGAATCATGACCTCAAGTGGATATGGATGCCCCTGATGTTAGAAAGAACTGCAGAGAGAGGAGTCTCCCCATTTGATGCAAATATGGCCAGAACACCGATCACTGCCTGGCCCTGCACCGTGACTGCCAGTGACTGAAGTCAACGTCCCACGCCGGGCACCCTCACCCAAGCTCAACCCCTTCTTCTTCTCCTTCCTCACCCTCTGCTGTCACCAAGGCAAAAACACCTGAGTGAGTCAGCACAAATCTCATGCTGTCATGCTACAAATATCGTGTCATCGTTTTGCTTCCATTGGTCCCCCCACGTTCAAAGGAAAACAGTTACGGTCCCACAGCGGCACAAACACGAGGATCAAAGTTTGGAAGGACAAAAGGCCTCAGGCCTCAGGTACTATGCTTCAAACAGCCAAAGCCTGGTGTCCGACAACCCCAATTGTCACGCACTTCACAGCTGCTTGTCTCACCATAACATGCGAAAGACCCTTCCCGCCGTTCCATACCGAGACCCCGACCTAGTAGGAGGAGACACCTGCAAGAGCTGGAACATGTGTAACTGACTGCACAGGGACCCTTCTAGAACTAAGCCAGATTGACACCATCTGGTTCAGTAAACATGCGTGTCTGCCACCTGCCTTCTAGATTCTACAACTTGTCTGGTCCAGTCCATGGGTGGTCGGTTGGCAGACCATTCCTGGGATGCAACCCATGGTTCTCTCACTCACCTCCAATCCTCTTCACCCGCCCCAAATCCAAGAAGGCCTGAAGGGGCCGGGCCCAACCTGAACCTGACCCCATGACCTTTCCTTTCTGTTTCAAATCCCTCCTGTGAAAGGTAGATGAAACCGGGCTGAATGGGGGTCTCCCTCTTCGTACAACACACCGCTCCAAGCACCGCCTCAAAAAGATGAACGGCCGGAATGGCCCGCTCAGTCCTGCTTCGATCGCTCTTTCCGCAGGTCGTTTGCTGGCCAAAAAAAAAAGGCTAGTAGGGTGAACCTTTGGTGGACAAGCAGTAGCCACAGGAAGTTGTTGCATGTTTCCCACAGCTATGCACGGGTCACTACCTGAAATGACGCCGCCTAACCCTCGGGACGGAGGGTGAGGCTTCTCTGCGTTAATTGGTGGGACCGCTGTACGGTAATTACGGGAATCAGCCTGGATAATATAAATACCTCCCATCCAGACAGCGGTGTCTTCCTGGTGTTTTTGCGCTTCCTCGTTGTGGTCTTTGCTGGCAAGATGGGGTTCCATTCGCCTGAAGACATGGTGCGGCTTGGGGTTTGAGTCCCCTTTGGCATGATGCAGCCCGAGGTATGGTTTGGCTCGGGGTTCAATTCCCACGAAGCGCGGCAGTGCTAGGAGTGTGTCGTTTGACACCATTTCTGCTGCATGTCAGGCATCCTAGCCAGAATTCACCTGCCTACATACTCGCTTTGTCGTTTGTGAACCCTTATCAGTTCAGCTTCGGCGGGGCTGCACTTTTTTGGCGGCGACTCCTCGTGTAGAGCCTTCCCATCAACTTGCTCGCTCTTGTTTTTGCCTGGTAGGTTGCAGTCTATATCTATATAAACTTATGAATTTTACCTATATTATGTGTATATATATATATATAGTTTTGTTGTTTTGTTTCTTATTACATTTTTTCAATTATGCCTGGTGACCAGGTGTTCGCTTGAGGTGGCTTGCAGAAACCCGGTCCGTGCTTTCAACAACGATCCTTCGAACCTAAACCTCGGTCCTCTCCCCATGCTGGCACGGGTTCGCGTGCGCGCGTTTTTCGCTGCAAGGCCAGGGGGGTCTTGAAGTGCAAAGCTTTGGGCTGTGGAGGCTTTGAAAGGTAGGCTTCAATTGAGCAGCAAAACGCTGAGCATCTAATTGCCTGGAGCCCAAAAAAATGACTGGCAGCGGAGTTGTCTGTGAGCCAGCCACTGGCCTGGTTTGGGATTGGATCCCAGTGCTGATGGCGTCGTCTGTCCCAATCCGTCCCAAGCTAGATGGTTGGTTCATTGATGGGCCACCATCTCTCAGTCGGGGGGTCCTTGGCTTCAATATGTAGATCCTTTGGGGTTGGCTGGCAGCTTCTATCCTTGGAATTTCCATTTTCGCATGCAAACACTTCATCTGCAAAGACCTCCCAAACCGTTCTGCAGACGACCCGTTGTTGGCCGTTGTTCTGCGGCTAGCCCCAACGACCGGCACAATCTCATGACACCCACGGAATAGCCGTGTCTGGTGTGTGGCGCCCCTCCAAAAAAAGAAACACCTCCCCTCTCCCAAGAGGTGGGTCTCTGTAAAATCTCTGAGGCCGTGGTCCACGGGTCCCCAAACGGCATGGTGAAGCCTTTCCCGCTTCGTTTTTTTCGTGGCACCCAGCAAAAGGAGGACGAACAGAACCCAACACCCCGCCATTCCAAGCATGGCATGTCTTCATGTCTTCAGGTCCCGAAGTCCGTTGCCTCCGCCCCACCGCCTCCGCCGGCGCCCCGAAGGAGACGGACGAGGTCTTCGGACACATGTCATCGGGCGACGTCGGGCGCACCGAGACGACACGCATCTGTCCAAAGAGCAGCCGTCCGAAGACCTCGTGGCAAACAAGAAAACAAAAAAACAATACCAAAAGAAACAACTATAAACTAATGTGTCTTCTTATTTAGTTGTTTCACTTGTGTCTTTTTCTGTTGTTGTTCTCCGTCCGAAGACCTCGTGGCGGCGGAAGGACCGACAGCCACCGAGCGGCGACTGCTGCGAGCGACCGTCGCTGGTAGACTTCAAACCGGTGGAGTTGACGGACATGCATGACATGCACAGGACACGCCCCAATCCGTGTTTGAAAGATGCGATCCTTTAGTAGTTTTGGTCACGGTAGGAGCATGAGTCTGTCAGAGGGTAGGAATAGTAGGAAGCTGCAAGTTCCACTTCCACTTTGATCCATATGACACATCCTATCACATCCTTGTATGTATTATATATATATACGCAGCATATATGCAAATTCTTCCAAGACTGCCAAAGCATGCCCAAGACCAAGATCCAGCTTTGCACGCTGGTTAGGGTAGAGTTGGGTAGAGGAACACACACAACAATCGGGGCATTTGCTGTGCATGATGTTGCACTCTGGGTGCCCGTGCGTGCATCTGCGGGTGGTCATGCAGCCTGAGTGCGCTGGGCTTGACTTTGGCTGCAAAGTCAAAAACCTGTAAACAAGGAATCTGCTATATTTCCGGGCAGTAAATCTCCTCTGCATCGATGCTTTTGGCAGGCAGTTGATCAGATCTACTACATGACGACATGTGTTTGTTACAGTGTATGTCTGGAGTGAAGCACCTACTTTGGGCCCCTCCCGTTATATAAATATCTTGCTCAAGCACACTGAGACAAGTGCTCTGCAGCCCGATCAAAGCACATGCTGAGCGGTCCAACTTGGACGTCCAACTTGGACCCGGACGGGATCGAGGCGCCCTTCTTCAGGAGGAACATGCATAGGGTCACATCAGAGTTTTGACCCACGTCCTGGGTGTTCGGCGGTTTTACGGAGGCTATCAGACATGTGCTGAGTGTGTTTGTTCTGCCCCAATGACTCGACCAAAAAAGACTGGTTGGAGTTCAGTATTCTCGTTAGTTTCCCACTTCCGGATTCTTCAAAGTTTGGTTGCCTTCAATGCAAGTTGGTCAGCCGGTCGGCCTTTCAGGGATCGGCAGTTCCAACAAGTTTTTGCTTGAACACTGCTCCACTGCAAAATCCCAGCACCATCAGCAGCAAGGGTTGGAAACACGCGAGTTGCTGCGATGGAGTGTCTGCTTAGATTGGCTTCTGGATACATAAGCTTCCCTGGCAGGCGGATGCTTTTTATTTCCTTGTATTGCATCAAGTGAAACAACTGCCATTCGCCTATCGCAACAAGCGGCCACGCCTAGCGCCAACAATGTGATCAGAAGGGCTGAAGACGTTTGGACAATTGGTCATGCTGTTGATCTGTTCATCAGATGTTTCTACCTGTCGATCATGCAGTCACTCGCTTTCTTTCACCGTTGTATACATGGAACCCAGCTCCTTTACCCAACTCTATGAAGTCTGGACAATGGTCCTGGGCTCCAGCCAATTGAAAGCCGATGAAAGACTAGGCAAACAACTGAAAGATTCTCCTCCGAGGCCCTACGACTCTAGGACTTGGAGTGCCCTGCACCCCACATCCACCGACATGGTGCCAAGGCGCCATGTAGCCGACCTCCAGGAAGGGGCGCTGCATCATCTCTGGCCCCACCATCAAGTCCTCAGCCTGCAAACACCGAAAATCACGGGGGAACTCACCTCGGGAAAACTCGACCAGTGACCCGCAAGCCATGGCTGGAGCTGGATGACTCCATCGGCGGGTCGTCACCCCACCAGACCCAGGAATTGCTACGTGTGCTCCAGATGAAGGGAAGAAAAGAAAGGAGAAGTCAGAGAAGGCTCGAAGATGGGTCATGAAAGAGGGTGGGGAAATTTAATGAATGGATGGTACAAATTGGGTGGGCAAGGTTTGGACTTGCCAATATAGTATGGTCAGAACCTTTCTCAGCAATTGCTAGCAGGACAATGAGTTTGCGGCATTCAGGCACTGAACAGAAACTCAAATCTTGAACCACACTCGCGTCCACCTGACATCTTGGACAGTGGATGGCAAAGGTACTTTGAAGACCAGGGTCAGAATGTAATTATCAAAGGAAGTTTAGTGTACGAAACTTCCGTGTTGCGGACATTCAAAAACTGTTCATACACCACTCGTCAATACACCACTCATCATACACCACTCATCCTACACCACTCATCAATACACCACTCATCAATACACCACTCATCATACACCACTCATCATACACCACTCATCATACACCACTC